ACATATGATGATTTTCCAAGCATAAAGATTTTGCTGGTTTCCTCGAATGTTAAACAGGAAAGCGTACAAAATAGACAATTTGATATAATGAGAGATTCGTGTTCGATAATCAACCCCATTTTGGATAACATCAATGTATTATCAAACATAGCTGTTGATATCTTCAATCAATTGGAGGAAGAGTTATATCTAACTGGGCTTACGATTGATGATCTTCAACCTTGCCACCTACAAAACTTCTACGACTTTTTATTGGTAAATTTTTTTTTTGTGAACTTCGATATTTTTTTTACATGTATTTATATCCGGCCGTTGCTTGAATGTTCTCGTACGGATACTTTTGTTGAAATTTTAATCGTCTCTTTAATCTCTTTTAACATACACTTCATAGGATCTTATTCACATGAATCAAGGATTATTAAGTGCATTAGGAATCTCACAACCAAATGTAAACATTATTTGTGCAATTGCACAGAATTATTCGCTAAGGGGAAAGATAACGTATAGTGACAAATGTGAACACGCGTTTATTATACTATCACCGAACTTCATAGATGATGACCTTGCTAAACTTATAAATGAATTAAAGGCGCATAATTTTTCCGTTACGGTAACCAGTTTGTGTGGAAAGTGGAACGGAGTTAGAGTTGAATAATATATTCAACATAAATCAACAATTTAATATGAGGGATTATATATGTACAATGTATATAATAAGATGGCATATTCAAACGGCTTATTATAATTCTGGGAATACAAGTTTTGTATATTTTTTAAATATATATATGTGTATATATATATACAAGATATAAATTATATTAGAATTATATTCTAGATATAAATTATATCACAAATTACATTACAAATTATATATGAAACTCTATTTGAAACAGTTGTATATTCCAAATATTTTATGTTAGGTATATGCTTTTATACTAAGAAATAAATGTATTTCTCAGATATACAACATATATTAAAATAATCTTATAGAGATAGAGAGAAAAGAAGTATAAGGAAAAAGAAAAAATTA